ATTATAAAAGTCCTAAATACATACTCACTTAGAAAGAGTTAAATATGAGATAGAAGAGATGGTTAAAGGTGTTAAAGGATTATGGTCGTGTACTACATTATCACCCGATAAAGGCAAATATAGTAGCAGATGCCTTACGTAAAAAAAAGGATAGCAATGAAGTAGTATAGATAAGTATTTTAAAGGACCTCGAGGAGCTTAATCTAGAGGTGGTGTTGAAAAGAGGCGAGTGTAGGCTATCGGCTTTAGTAATGGAGTTGGATTTAAGGTCTAGAATCAAAAGTGGATAATTAATCGATGATGAGATGATTAGGGTGAAGAAAGAAATAGAGGAAGGGAAAAGACCGGATTTTATAATAGACACTAATGGGCTAATGAGGTACTCGGAGCAGAGTTATGTGTGCCGAAGGATAAATATTTAAGAGAAGCAATTCCGAGTGAGGCGTGTTCTACTCCTTATTCAAGTACATTCCGGTGGTATCAAGATGTATCAAAATTTGAAACCAATGTATTGGTAGAGAGAAATGAAGAAAGATATAGCAAGTCATATAGCTAGATGCTTAACTTGTCAACATGTAAAGGTTGAGCATCGTAGACCATTAAATTTCTTACAACCTTTGTAATTCCCGAATGGAAGTAAAAGCACATAACTATAGATTTTGTTATGGGATTACCAAGGTCCAAAAAGGGATTTAATGCTATTTAGGTTATCGTAGATAGATTAATGAAGTCAACTCATTTTTTACTAATGAAAACAACTTTCAACATGATTCAAAATGTAGAATTGTATATGATGGAGATAATAAGGTTACATGAAGTACCGTATTGATTGTATCCGATAAAGATCTAAGTTTCACATTGAATTTTTGGAAGGGTTTACATGAAGTAATGGGTACTAATCTGAATTTTAGTACCGCTTGTCACCCTTAGAGTGATAGACCATTAGAGAGTGATACGAGCACTAAAAGACATGATAAAAGCTTATGTACTTGACTCGGTCGTGTAAATGGAAAAAAATATCTACCACTCGGTAAAATTTACCTATAATAATAATTACCATGTAAGTATAGGAATGCCACCATATGAGACACCGTATGGGAGGAAGTGTAGATCATCGGTTCATTAGGATGAGGTAGGTAAGAGAAAATTATTAGGATCAAAAATAGTTCAACAAACGACTAAGGTGGTAAAAAAGATAAGGCTAAGAATGAAAATAGCTCAAAGTAGGTAGAAAAGTTATATCGATTAGAGGATAAAAGATTTAGAGTTTGAAGTGGGTGACAATATGTTTCTTAAGGTAGCGCCGATAAAAGATGTGATGCGATTTGAAAAAAAGAAAAAATTGAGTTCTATATACATCAAATCATATGAGATTCTTGATAGGGTGGACAATCGAGAATATAGATTGGCTCTCCCTCCATCTTTGTTAGGAGTCCATAACGTCTTCTATATATTGATGTTAAAAAAATATGTGATTAACCCAAATCATGTATCGATGGTAGAACCGATAGAGTTAACTTCGCATTTGATATATGAAGAAAGATCGATACATATATTAGATCGAGAGGTAAAGAAGTTGAGAAACAAGGAAATTGTATTAGTGAAAGTGTTGTGGAGAAATCACGAGATTGAAGAGGCCACGTGGGAACAAGAAGAAGAACTAAAGGCAAGATATCCCGAATCGTACGGTATATAAATTTTAAGGACAAAATTTTTATAACAAGGGAGGGTTATAATACCCAAAAAACTTTGCATGATAATATATTATATGTATATGTGTGCAAATATGCTTTATTTATGTATGCAATTTAATTTTTTTTTATGTGTTTATGTGATGATTAGGTATAAAGTTTTAGAATATAATATATATTTTTAGGTATTATAGATAATATTTCCATAGATAAGAACTAGTCCTACAATCTTAGCCTAAGCTATTGGGAATTAAAGAATTAAAATAGTAATAATAATTAATAAAGTAATAATAAAATAATAATAAGTTTTAATAGCTTCTAAATGGAATGTTGTTGGCTATGAAAGAAGAGCAAAAGTTTTAAAACATATATTAAAATTAAAGAGGAGACATGAATGGCTATGAAAGAAAAGAAAAGATAAGTGGCTATAAAAGAAGATTAGTGGCCATGAAAGAAAAGAAAATGGTCATAAAAGAAGAAAGTTAGTGGTCTTTTATTATTTTTAATTCATGCACTTAAAATTCTCAAATGTTTCATCTTCGCATGCCTATATATAAGGTGTCATTCTCTTCATTTTGGAAAATCATTTCATAAGTTTATATTTCAAAGAGAGGGAGAGAGAATATAATTAAGTAAGAAGTGAAGTCAAAGGTATTTGGAAAAAGATTTAAGTCTTGATGATTAAATATTCAAGGTAAGAAAAATATTTAATTTAATTATTTGTTTCTACATGATTTTAGGTATAATCGAGTTCAAAATTTCATGATTTAGGATTGATTATGTAAAAATTATATTTCAGTATTAAAATCTTAAATTTTTATTAGAATATTTGATAATTAAATGTATTTAAATAAGAATTGAAAATGTTAAGTTAAAATTTAATAACATTAGATTATATGAATATAATTAAAGAAGAATTGAATAAATTAGAGTAGAGTTGATGATTTAATTAGGATTTTTAATTTAAAAGAAATTACAAGAAAAGAATAGAAATTAATAAAAATTAAATGATTAGAGATAAAATAATAATAATTACTTTCTTATGTTAGATGGTGTGTATATTCGAGGTATTGAATTAAGTCACAATAAATAGTGGTTTTAAGCGAATCAAATAAGTGTAACTCACCTACACCTTGGACGTAAATGTTATGTGTTTTTATGTAATTGATGTGATATGATGATCTTGAGGTGCATTCATATGCATGCATATGTTTTACATGTTGATTGAAAGAAAATGTTTTAAGTAAACGAATGAAGTTATTTTTTTAATGCATATTGAGGTTTAAATGTTGAGGTTGCCTATCAAAGCATAAACATTGAGGTTTGAAGGTTGAGGATTGAATGTTAAATGATGAGATTAATATGTTTATGTTTGTTCTTTTATTGAGGTAGACTCCGCTAACCGGTGTTAGTATCTTCTAGCATACCCAAATGAGGAAAAGAATTTTAAAGACATTCATATACTAAAAGTTTTAATGTAAAATTATGCATGTTACTCTTATTGGGATATTTGTATCTCACGTCCATTCCGTGATGTAGGTAATGATACAAATGTTGAGGATATTGATGTTGCTTCCGTGACCCACTCATATGCCTCGCCTTTGCGTGTTCCTAATTATTAGGTTATGCTTTAAATGAATATTTATTTTTAAAATAATAAATGTAATGATGTTAAACTTATGAATATTGAAAATTTTTACTTAGAATTTGAGTATGAATATTGGGACAAAATTATTTAGGAATGTTATTTATGATGTGAGATGTTTTATAAATAATGAAATTTTAGAATAACGCTTCGCCTTATTAATGAGAAAATCTTATGGTTATATATTATCAATAACATATTTCAAATTGACATAGTTAAAGATAAATAAGATTAAATTAAAAATTTAATTTTAAGAAAATAAAAAGATATAAGTTTTAGTATTAACCCGTTCGATCATGACCTTTCGAGTGAGGTATCTCGGTTAATCGGCGTTATACTACTAGACTACCTATATCCATACTTGCATGGCTAAAATCTCATATTGGATGAAGCCACTTGTCCCACTCGATTTATTTATAGTAGAATTTGAATTCATGTAAAATCAAGTACAATAAGGTGGATTAGTACATATAAAAAGTAAACTAAATTTTTTAAATAGTTGTTGAAACAAATCGAGCTTATAAAAATTACTATAGTAAATAATTTCGTCACTAGTTTTTATTTTGAATCTAACAAGCAATCAAATCAATTTAAAGCTTGATTATGCAGACTCTACATGCCTTCTACTTGATTAACAATTAAACATGAAAAAAAAATCAAGGTCCTAACTTATAAGTAACTAACTAATGAGTTCCCCTCAAAGGAAAAGCTTTGAGTCTATAAAATAAGAGTTGCCATTTTTGTGTCGGCTGCTAGTAAGGCTTTGCTAAGCTGCTTTGACTGATAAAAACACGGAAAAGTATGAGATTCTAATTCAAAGAAAAGAAATTTGATTCCTTCTTTTTGTCCAAAAGAAAAGAAATTTGATTCGTTCTTGATTTGAATGGAGTTCGAGTCAAATTTAAGCTCAATTACAAGTTAAAACAAATTCAATTTTTTACGTAATATTTTTTTAATAATATTTTTAAGTAACTTTGACTAACTAAGAAAATATGTACAATTTTATAACGGTTCCTCATGTGTAACGATAAGTTTAATATAACTGAATATCATATCAATTTAGAGTCCTTGTTAAATTTTTGTGTTTGATACGGTGACCCCATGAATTTAGGACAATTACTTCTGTTAATAGCTAATTATATATATATATATATATATATATATATATATATATATATATATATATATATATATATATATATATTCAGGCATCTTATTAAGAAATAAAAATTAATTGTTTAAGTGGCTGAGTCTCCAATAAATTTTCGTCTTGCTTTTCAACCGCACATCCAACTAATGAAACCCGACACTGCCATCATCGATGTTTCATTAAACTAAAAAAATAATAATAATAAAAGAGCATGGAATCTCTCTTAATTAGGCCACGATAACTGCCTTATTTTTATTATAAAAAGGCAAAAATAGAATCAAATCACTCTTTTCTCCCATACCTTTAATTCAAATGAGTAAAATTACATTATAAAAAAGGAAGAGTATAATTACATTGATAAATCCGGTCCACATATGAATTTAATTGCGAATCTAACAAGAAATCAAACCAATTCAAAGTTTGATCAATTAACGCTGACTACCAAATTCCTTTTAGGTGTTCAACAACTAACAAGTCATCAATCTAACATGAAAATCAAGGTCCTGACTTAAAAATGGAGCTAGAAATTGACTCAAAGCTTGCGGTGGATTTTGGGTATTGTGACAAGCGAAGGCAGAGTGAAATTGAATATATAGAAAAGCTATTCAATGGCAGGGGTGAGTCAAACAAATCTATAGAAAAGCTGGCCGAGCAATTGACTTGTTGGCATCTCCTGCTTGCTCTTTAGCAGCGGGAGTCATTTCGTTAGATGAGACTCTAACAGGTTATCTTTACATTTGTTAAAGGATATTTTGAGATTGCCATCCCTCGTATTTGGAGGACGTAATCTTTTTTCTAAAACTTGTATATGCTTGATTTTCTTCAAAATTAATTGAATAATCAACTAATTTTGTTATTTGGTAATTCATGTCTTTTTTTTTTTTTTTGTATGTTTTAAATTATACAACATATGAATTGGACTAAAAAATAAATCTTGTATATCTCAATGTTTTATATCATGTAGGAATTGATAAAAATATTCTAGTAGAGTATGTGTCCATGTTTTATCTATAAATATATTAAGGAGATTGTCATGGTAAATTCGTACTACTATCTCGTTAAAAAAATAAAAATAAATTGTTATTTGTTTAATATTTTTTTTACAAGTTGAAGTAGTTTAGTTTAAAAAAACCTAAAATATATGTCTAGCTTAAATATGATCGTTTAAATATAAATGATGTGACACGATTCTAATAATTAAAAAATATTCTTTTTCTATTATAAATATCAACACCATAACAATTGTGAAAAGGGCTTTTGCATATATTGCAAGCATTTTAATTTTTCAGATTTTAAGCAATCCTTTTGAACTATCTCTCTGTCGAGTCTCTCCTACTTACATATATTAGAGGACGCTTCAAACTTTATCTCTTTAAATTTTGATTTATTCATCTATAAGTCATTTTAACATTCATCTTAAATAGTTTTTTTTCTCTTAAATATTTTACTATTTATACCAATTTTATTTGACTGATTATTATTTGTTATTTCTATAAATTATAATACTAACTTTTCATATTTTAGTTGATCTAGTAACATATCATTAACTTTTAACTTATTCTAAAAAAACCCTTACACAGAGCTTTTAACTAACTAATGAGTTCCTCTCGGATGGAAAACTTTCTAGATGCCTTCCAAAACCCAATCCCCTGCCCATAGGATAGAGCCAAAGAAACAAGCCCTCAAAATCTCTCTAGATTGAGACCTCGAGCCATAGATTAGTGAGGCCAACAAAGGCTTCTAGAAGCTTTATCTTCACAACAAGCAGATTCATGCTACGTTGGGTGGTCCATTTCCAGTCACCACAGCTGGATTAAAATCCAGCGGCTCGAGATCGCAAGAAGCTCCTAACTGCAAGTCTTATGCTTCTAGAAACTCAAGCAGATTCGATAGCAATGCAGTGACGTAAGATGGGGTTACGTAATTTCTTTTCGGGAACTGAACTTCCCAGAAATTAGGTTTTGTAAATAAAAGTTGCCACTTTTTGTGTCGGCTCCAAGAAAAACTTTTTCGAGCTGCTTTGGCTGATCACACCAGCCGGCCAATGGCTCCACATACCAAGCAAAGTCTAATTGTCAATAACAGTACATAAAAAAAAAAATGAGGTTCTAATTTAGCCGAAATGAAATAATTGCAGCACCAGCTTTCAAGATTCAAATGGATCCTTTTCTTTTCTTTTTTCCCCCAAAAGTATATATATGCTGATTTATAAGATTTGAATGAAATTCCTTTAATATTATCCAGTTGAATCTTCAAAAAAGAGAAAAAAAATCAAATATTTCTAAATTCCTTTTCTTATAATATTTTATGAAATTTTGTTTAAAAAAATTCCTATGATTTTTTTTAAAATAAAATCAATTTTTGTATTGATAATATGTGTTTGCTTGAGTTTATTCAATTCCAAAAAATGTTTAGCTTTTTTTTAAAAAAAATGTCAAGGATTCTGGCTGGATCTTTCAAGCTTTCAATATGCATCATTCTTATCGATATTTGTTACTACTAAGTCATTACAGCATAAATAATTCTCAGTTATCATAATATTAAAACATAAAAGAAAAAAACTGTCCCATCTAAAAAATAAGGTCAAAGACAACTAGAGAAGCCATAAACTCAAGCTGGAGCAATAATTATTCGCCCAGTAAAAAGTAAAAGAAAAAATGTTCTAGAAGCCAAATAATGCCATTTGCCAAGTCATCAATAACCCCTGTTCAAAATCTTTCACATTTTTAAAACCAGACAACCTCAATCCAACACACCTTTGTTCTTTTCTTTCCTTTCTTCAGTGTCTTCAAATTAAACGCTCAACACACCCTCTCTCTCTCTCTCTTCCTGATTCTCATATATGTAAGCATTTCTTCCCCTTCAATTTCGCACGCACACCCAGATTCTCAGAATTTTTCAATATCCTATTTTGCCGCTAAAGCCATATCTCAATGAATGCAACAGCACACTTCACCGTCTCTCCAATCCTTTCATCGCCGGCTACTCGCCGGGGAATCTCAATCAAGGCGTCTGTCTCAACATTTGCGACTGAGTCAGTCGGAGTTGACTCAGGGAGGAAATCTCCGAGTCTGTACGAGATTCTCCGAGTTAAAAGAACGGCTTCGTTACCGGAGATTAAGGGTGCATTTAGGAGTCTTGCTAAGGTTTATCATCCTGACGTGAGTGGCAGTGATGATGGAGAACAATCGGACGGTTTAGATTTTATTAAGATTTGTAATGCTTATGAAACGCTGTCGGATCCTGCTGCTCGTGCTATGTATGATTTGTCGTTGGGTAATAGTAGTAGGTGGAGGAGACCGGTTGGGTTTTCCGGTCGGTTCTCCCGGAGTCGGCGGTGGGAAACTGACCAGTGTTGGTAAAAACGGCGACGTTTTTACCAAATTATGTCTTTCTTCTTCCTTTGCTATTCGTAGTCTAGCATTTTTGGTTTTCTTACAGAAACATGCCGTGTGATAGGCAATGTGCGGAGAGGTATTTTAGTCAAAAATGTAAATGCATTACCCCTTTTTGTTTATTTTAGAAAAAATCAGAATAAAAATAAATAAATAACGAAAACATGCTGCTCTCACTGTATTATGCTCTTTTTTTTTTTTTTTCCTTGTCGATAAAGGCAAGAATGTTATGTAAAGCCTGTATTTCACAATCACCTACAAATTGCTCAAAAGTTTAATTTTGAATCTACCATGCCATATCAAAACCAAATAAAAAGCTTGATTAATGCAATTTTTTAAATGTCTTCTAGTTTATTGATGCGTTCAGGATGATTAGTAAATCATGCTATTAGAGTTATATGCTAATTTCAAGTGCAAGCATTATTCGGTTTAAATAAAAAAATCAAAATATTATTTTTGTTATGGTTTTTAACTCATAATTAAAGAAAAAAAATTAAATTTTTTTTGTTTGGTTTGGTTCAGTTTAAATCGAAAATAAATTTTTTTTTTTACTAATTTTTAAAGTTTTTTTTTAAAAAAACCGGATTGAATCAAATCCAATTATTATTATTATTTTGGTATTTAACTCATGATTAAAAAAAAAAAAAAACAAACCAAAATTTTTTCAGTTTTTCGATTTAGTCAAGTTTAAATTAAAAAATTGATTTATTATTATTATTATTATTATTATTATTATTATTATTATTATTTACCTTTTTTTAAGTTTTAAAATAATACAAACAAGTTAAAAAAATCAATATCTTTTTTGTCTATTTATATTATTTTAAAAAATTATAAAAAATAAAAAAAATCAGTTTAAACTAAATTCTATTTTCGTTTTTTCAGGTTTGTTTAATCAAAAAATCAAATGATTATCCTTAATCGATTTTATGCAAATATTGTTATATTTAATGAAAAAAACATCATGAATAATCCACGAATAAATACAATAGGAAAAAAAATCGTACATCATTCGTATTAGACAGCATTAAACATCTTATGTAAGCTAATCTTATATAATAAATTTATATATTAAATAAGAAGATTTGGTTATTGAATCTCACATATTTAATATATATAGTAGATATTTTTTCCGTAAATAAATTCTTATAACACTATTATGTAAAATTACTATTTACATTTTCAGACTAATCCAACAACTCATAAATTTCTCGTTATTTATTTCTTAATTTTTCTTATGAAATATCATTATAAATAAAGTACTAGAATGAAAATCAGGATCACTATCAAGCGACACATCCCTCTCAAAGGGATAGCCTTCTAAATGCATTCAAGCCTCAAGACCCTAATCCTCTATCCACCTCCATAGCCCACAGGGACACAGCCGAAAAAGCAACCCTAAAATGGGACCTCAACCCATGGTGACTTACAACTCACAAGGGCGGCCTACAAAGGCTTCTAGAAGCTAATCCTTAAACTATTTACTTACACAAATTAGGGACTACCATTTTCCTTGACGACAAGGTTCATGGTAATTTAGATGGATGGTCCATTTCTAACCATGCCACCCACCGTTGGGTTCTGCAAGCTAGCAAAATCTAACGGCTCATTTCAAAAGTGAGTGCTAACTTCTAGACCCTCCGGCACCTGCACACCAACATCAATGGCGATGCTGTTACGCGAGATGTGATGACATAATGTATCCATGTAAGTTCAATTTTGGGAACTAAACTGGCTAGAAACTAGAAATTAACCATTTAAAACTTGAAGTAAAGTTGTTAAAACTTCTGTTCCAAAGTTATTATACTATTTCACTTTGACATAAATTAAAAAAATTATCAATTATTATATGTTACGGTCTTAAGTCATAAAATTCAAGCCAAGTGTCATTCGTCGGTGTCATTCTATCATGCATGAATTCCTCTTTTAGATTAAGTCTTTTTTGTTAGTAATGAGCAGGTAGTCTTTAGACAACAACTCCTATCATTTAAGAGTTTGTTTCCCCATTTATTTCTTTAAAAATAGGTCTCTAGTTATTCGTTTATTTTCTAGGATTTGTTTTTGCTTTTTCCCATTTTAATTAAGCCTATAAAATGGTAGTCCTTAAACAAATAAAGGGCATCCATTCTATTATTTATATTCTTTTGCTTTTGCAAATAAACCCATCTTATCTCCGTTTTGCCCTTTCAAAGGTGCGAGCCGTGAGAGTATCCGAGCAAATAACATTATATCATTTATATTAATATTTGTTATAAAAGAAATAAAAACAATTGAAGAATTGAAGAGAAAGATGATAGAAAAATGAATTCACTATAAAATGAAGTGAATACAAGAGTTAACAACTCCAAATAATCTCACAATCTCTATAAAATACTTGCGTATAAATTAATGAACAATCAAACCTATTTATAGGCTTCAAGATTAAAAAGAGAATTTGAAAGGATTATGAACCATTAAAAGATGCATAAATAATTGAATAAATTACATCACCCTTTCAATTTCTCATATTGAATGATGAATTGAATTATATGAATAGTACGGACTATGAAATGGACATTTATTATTTCATAACACTCTCCCTTAAATGTCTATCGTACAAGAAACATGTCTCGTTAAAACCTAACTAGGAAAAAACCCAATGGAAAATAACCTAGTGAAGGAAAAAGAGTACAAAATTACTTATACATGTTAAACTTAATGTTGGCCTTTGGCCTTCCTTTGTTGAAAACATCATTTGATATCTTTAAGATGACATATTTCAATCTTATGAATCATCTTCTTAAAAGTTATGGTAAGTAATCCTTAGTGAACAAATCGTTGGATTGTCACTTGATCGAATTCTTCCTTTAATTGAATTATGCAAGTAGCATTATCTTCATATGATATTGTTGGAATTTTTTTTGTTGGTAGATAAACTACATGTCTTTTGGATATGATGAATCATTGATATTAGCCAAACATATTCTCAACTTGCCTCATGAATTACTATTTTTGCATGGCTTAAATATTTAGCAACTATAGTTTGCTTCATAAAACGTCATGATATAGCTGTATCATCAAGTATAAAGACATAACCCATTTATAATCGAGTTTTGTATAGATCAAATAAATAACATGCATCCGCATAATCAATTAAACCCGAATTTGATTTATTTGAGTAAAATAAATACCATATTAAATTTTACTCGAAGATAACGTAGGAAATGTTTAATTTCATTCCAATTTTCATATTGGAGTAAAACTATGACTTGCTAATAAATTTATAGAAAAGACTATATGATAGACCTCTTCTAACCTATAGACTTGAGATAAGTGCACCTATCGTTCTATAGTACGAGTTGATAGAGTATCAAGTGTCGATCCCACATACACTACGAGTACTAGTAATCACCCTCTTTTTATTATCTAACCGATAAGGTATAATGATAGTGCATGATTAAAAGAAACAATAACTAAAGCGAGATCACGTAAATGCAACAAGAATAACGAAAATAGCTAATCGAGCAATCAATGGTAAAGGCGATACCTAGATAGCCAATCCCCCTAAGACCTTCTATGTAATTGCAATATCACTCATTCAATCATTCTTTGTGTTCATTGGACCATAGGAACTCTTGAATTATGTTAACTACTTTCTCAAGTTAGCTAACACTTAATCCCAAGTTGATTAATCGAAATCTCTTTCTAATTAACACCTCTAAGATCGCTTTAATTCACTTTGTAAATTTCATTATTAGATTTGACTCTAATCCGGAAGATTTATTTCGTCCTATCTCTAGGATTGCATGCAACTTTTTTCGATTATAGTTGATCTAATCACGAGTTAGGGTTTTTCGGTCTCATAGTATGATAAACGAGTATGAATCAACACGCTAGCATATGCTAATTCAATTAAATAATAATTGCAACATAACTGAATCACAATAAAAATAAAGATTGAGTTAAATAAAGATATTAGATCACACCGTCAATCTTAGGGTTCATCATATCTAGGTATCGATATAATTTAGTTCATGATCAAAGTGAAGAATACATAAATCTTGAATAGAGAACAATAAACATTCGGGAAAAAAATTATAACCCTTTTACTCTTAAGGTAATCTCCTTAAGAATCGATGAGAATCCACTCTAACAAGTGTTATCTTGCTCAAAACCTCGTTTTTTTCATGCTTCGGGTCGTGTTTTATCTCTCTAATTCGACCCTTAACCCTAAGTCGTGCTTTAGCTTAAATATGAGCAAAATTACGTGTTTCGTAAGACACGGTAATTTTTTTTCTTGAATCGGATGGTTACACGACCGTGTCTCTACCCGTGTAATGCAAAATTTTTTTTTCTTTAATCGGACAGTTACACGACCTATTACACGGGTGTGTCTTTGGCCGTGTAATTCATTGGTCATTCAAATTCACCAATTTTGCTCCATTCTTGCTTGGTTTCCGTTCCTTTTCACCAAAATAACATTGTAGGGCTCGAGAAACACACTTTAAGCAAGGTAAGTGCCAAAATTATACCATTTAAAAGTAAAGACAATTAAAATATAAGAAATTTGACACTTAAAATATGCATAAATAGGTACTTATCACTATACTAGGTCGAGTATTATTAGCAAGATATATCAAGGCACCGAGTGGTAGTAAAATATGATACTTCAAGATCAAGTAGTTCTTTGTTATCTTCTCAAGGTCGAAAATGATCTTTTTGGATATCAAGTGAATGAAAGAACATTGAGCTAGTCAACGAGTGATCTTTATATAGAATCATTGTAGAATCCTTTCTATATAAATTGATTGATGAATAAAAATATCATTCTCTAAGTGCTCAAACTGTAAGTCGGGATAACATTTTACTCGCCTAAGGTATTCATATCAAATTCTCTTTTTAGCTAACTTATAACATTTGAAATCTCTTCGGGAGTTTCAATAATATTTAAATTATTATCATATATAGTAACTATCACAAACCTCTTTTCGAATTTTTTTATAAAAATACATGAATAAATATGATTTTTTTAACCTTCTTTCAATAAATATTTATTGAAATAATTATACCACATGCACACGGAGTTAGTAATAAAGAGTAGATATTAAAAAATAAAAAATATATAAATATAAAAGTATAGCATAAATTGAATTTCTAAAAACTAAAATAATTCTAAGGGAGAGCCTCTAGGAACAATCTATATGGTAGAGGTGGGATCATCCGGGATGATAAAAGGAATATGATCATGGCTTACTCCTGTTTCTATGGTTCTAGAACAAATTCTAAAGGGAAGGCCGAGGCAATATTGGATGGTCTTAGGTTATGCTAGGTATACAATATTCCATATGATATTTTAGAAGCTGATTCATCTCTCATTTTGGGATATGTCTATCCTCAAATATTGCATGTCCATAGAAGCTAACTTACATCATCGGAAAATGTAAGCAATTGATACATGGAGGCATATCTTAGCGAAGCATCTGCTATAGAGAAGGAAACATGTCTACCGATAAACTAACGGATCGGGCTTTACAGACATGTTTTTTCCAAGATTGCTTTTCTCAATGAATGACTTACCATTATCTTACCAATCCGCAATTAATGAGGACAGATTAGGTCCGTTTAACTTTTTTCCCAAGTAAGCTAGAATTTAGTATACTATGTACCGATTGTATTAGGGGTCAAGGTAACCTTGTTCTCCTAGTGTGTTGGGCTAGGTTGGTTTTGTCTCCCTTTGTAATTTTTTACGTAATTAATATATTTCCAAGGTACGACCCTCGTTTCCTAACAAAAAAAAAAAAAAGGTTCAAGATTTTAAGATTGACCCAACCAATAACAATTTTATTATCGAATTTAGAGGAATTGATTATGATAATTATCACATGGTAACATCTCGATGATTGTAAAATAATATGGTTTGCAATGTAAAGTCACCACTCAATTTTTTTGAGATGGAAATTATGTGTGTGTGTGTGTGTGTGTGTGTGTGTCTATATATGTATAACTAACAAACTAATCCTAAGAGTTCTAGATAAAAGAATTGGTTATATAACTAGGAAAGACCACGCTCATTCTAGGGTGCTCATTCTAGTGTGCCATCATAATGAGATTGCTTAACGAATTTTTTGTTAGGCAAAATCCAATTATATGTCTATTTTTAACCAATCCCAAATAAAGTGATTTGAAGACCGAAAGAAGACTCGGTCTCTCATCTAAATTCTCATTGGACCATTAAAGCCTAATTGAAAAGATAAAAATAAGAGTTTAAAGCTAATTTATAAATTAAACAACTTCAAATCCAAATAAAAGATAGAAAAATAAATTACCAATAAGTTTGGACTTTAGATCCAATTTCACCTACCAAACCATAAAAATAAGCATCACAAATCCATGATAGAGAACCTTAATAATATGAACAAAGGCTTTGAACCCCTATCAATTTGCAT